AAGGTGCCTCACTTTATTTTCATTACTTATAAAATAGGAGGAGGATGAAGAAAAAAAGAATGAAAAACAGGGGGTGGGGGAGATAAGAGAGAATGTTCTTTTTCTTGGCTGGGTCCCAGGGGGGGGGGGGGGGAATGAAGCTGAGCACAGGGCCCCACTAACTCTAAATTCGCTGCTGCCTGGGAAGGGGGTGAAGAGGTTCCCCTGGAGCTGCCCCCTGATGTAGGAGAAAGAAAAGAAGTACTTGTGGCACCTTAGAGACTAACCAATTTATTTGAGCATGAGCTTTCGTGAGCTACAGCTCACTTCATCGGATGCATACCGTGGAAACTGCAGCAGACTTTATATACACACAGAGAATATGAAACAATACCTCCTCCCACCCCACTGTCCTGCTGGTAATAGCTTATCTAAAGTGATCATCAGGTTGGGCCATTTCCAGCACAAATCCAGGTTTTCTCACCCTCCACCCCCCCACAAAAATTCACTCTCCTGCTGGTGATAGCCCATCCAAAGTGACAACTCTTTACACAATGTGCATGATAATCAAGTTGGGCCATTTCCTGCACAAATCCAGGTTCTCTCACCCCCTCACCCCCCTCCCAAAAACCACACACACAAACTCACTATCCTGCTGGTAATAGCTCATCCAAAGTGACCATTCTCCCTACAATGTGCATGATAATCAAGGTGGGCCATTTCCAGCACAAATCCAGGTTTTCTCACACACACGCCCCCACCCCATACACACACAAACTCACTCTCCTGCTGGTAATAGCTCATCCAAACTGACCACTCTCCAAGTTTAAATCCAAGTTAAACCAGAACATCTGGGGGGGGGGGTAGGAAAAAACAAGGGGAAATAGGCTACCTTGCATAATGACTTAGCCACTCCCAGTCTCTATTTAAGCCTAAATTAATAGTATCCAATTTGCAAATGAATTCCAATTCAGCAGTTTCTCGCTGGAGTCTGGATTTGAAGTTTTTTTGTTTTAAGATAGCGACCTTCATGTCTGTGATTGCGTGACCAGAGAGATTGAAGTGTTCTCCGACTGGTTTATGAATGTTATAATTCTTGACATCTGATTTGTGTCCATTTATTCTTTTACGTAGAGACTGTCCAGTTTGACCAATGTACATGGCAGAGGGGCATTGCTGGCACATGATGGCATATATCACATTGGTGGATGTGCAGGTGAACGAGCCTCTGATAGTGTGGCTGATGTTATTAGGTCCTGTGATGGTGTCCCCTGAATAGATATGTGGGCACAATTGGCAACGGGCTTTGTTGCAAGGATAAGTTCCTGGGTTAGTGGTTCTGTTGTGTGGTATGTGGTTGTTGGTGAGTATTTGCTTCAGGTTGCGGGGCTGTCTGTAGGCAAGGACTGGCCTGTCTCCCAAGATTTGTGAGAGTGTTGGGTCATCCTTTAGGATAGGTTGTAGTTCCTTAATAATGCGTTGGAGGGGTTTTAGTTGGGGGCTGAAGGTGACGGCTGGTGGCGTTCTGTTATTTTCTTTGTTAGGCCTGTCCTGTAGTAGGTAACTTCTGGGAACTCTTCTGGCTCTATCAATCTATTTCTTTACTTCCGCAGGTGGGTATTGTAGTTGTAAGAAAGCTTGACAGAGATCTTGTAGGTGTTTGTCTCTGTCTGAGGGGTTGGAGCAAATGCGGCTGTATCGCAGAGCTTGGCTGTAGACGATGGATCGTGCGGTGTGGTCAGGGTGAAAGCTGGAGGCATGCAGGTAGGAATAGCGGTCAGTAGGTTTCCGGTATAGGGTGGTGTTTATGTGACCATTGTTTATTAGCACTGTAGTGTCCAGGAAGTGGATCTCTTGTGTGGACTGGACCAGGCTGAGGTTGGTGGTGGGATGGAAATTGTTGAAATCATGGTGGAATTCCTCAAGGGCTTCTTTTCCATGGGTCCAGATGATGAAGATGTCATCAATGTAGCGCAAGTAGAGTAGGGGCTTTAGGGGACAAGAGCTGAGGAAGCGTTGTTCTAAATCAGCCATAAAAATGTTGGCATACTGTGGGGCCATGCGGGTACCCATAGCAGTGCCGCTGATCTGAAGGTATACATTGTCCCCAAATGTGAAATAGTTATGGGTAAGGACAAAGTCACAAAGTTCAGCCACCAGGTTAGCCGTGACATTATCGGGGATAGTGTTCCTGACGGCTTGTAGTCCATCTTTGTGTGGAATGTTGGTGTAGAGGGCTTCTACATCCATAGTGGCCAGGATGGCGTTATCAGGAAGATCACCGATGGATTGAAGTTTCCTCAGGAAGTCAGTGGTGTCTCGAAGGTAGCTGGGAGTGCTGGTAGCGTAGGGCCTGAGGAGGGAGTCTACATAGCCAGACAATCCTGCTGTCAGGGTGCCGATGCCTGAGATGATGGGGCGCCCAGGATTTCCAGGTTTATGGATCTTGGGTAGTAGATAGAATATCCCAGGTCGGGGTTCCAGGGGTGTGTCTGTGCGGATTTGATCTTGTGCTTTTTCAGGAAGTTTCTTGAGCAAATGCTGTAGTTGCTTTTGGTAACTCTCAGTGGGATCATAGGGTAATGGCTTGTAGAAACTCGTGTTGGAGAGCTGCCGAGCAGCCTCTTGTTCATATTCCGACCTATTCATGATGACAACAGCACCTCCTTTGTCAGCCTTTTTGATTATGATGTCAGAGTTGTTTCTGAGGCTGTGGATGGCATTGCGTTCCGCATGGCTGAGGTTATGGTTGCTTTTCCACAATTTCAGCCCGTGCACGTCGGCGGAAGCACTCTATGTAGAAGTCCAGTCTGCTGTTTCGACCTATCTTAAAACAAAAAAACTTCAAATCCAGACTCCAGCGAGAAACTGCTGAATTGGAATTCATTTGCAAATTGGATACTATTAATTTAGGCTTAAATAGAGACTGGGAGTGGCTAAGTCATTATGCAAGGTAGCCTATTTCCCCTTGTTTTTCCTACCCCCCCCCCCCCCAGATGTTCTGGTTTAACTTGGATTTAAACTTGGAGAGTGGTCAGTTTGGATGAGCTATTACCAGCAGGAGAGTGAGTTTGTGTGTGTATGGGGGTGGGGGTGGGGGTGGGGGTGTGAGAAAACCTGGATTTGTGCTGGAAATGGCCCAACTTGATTATCATGCACATTGTGTAAAGAGTTGTCACTTTGGATGGGCTATCACCAGCAGGAGAGTGAATTTGTGTGGGGGGGGTGGAGGGTGAGAAAACCTGGATTTGTGCTGGAAATGGCCCAACCTGATGATCACTTTAGATAAGCTATTACCAGCAGGACAGTGGGGTGGGAGGAGGTATTGTTTCATATTCTCTGTGTGTATATAAAGTCTGCTGCAGTTTCCACGGTATGCATCCGATGAAGTGAGCTGTAGCTCACAAAAGCTCATGCTCAAATAAATTGGTTAGTCTCTAAGGTGCCACAAGTACTCCTTTTCTTTTTGCGAATACAGACTAACACGGCTGTTACTCTGAAACCTCTCCTTACAATGTGTATGATAATCAAGTTGGGCTTTTTGCAAATACAGACGAACACAGCTGTTACTCTGAAACCTGTAATGAGCTTCAATGTAATCTTTAAACCGGCACTTAGTATCAGTTGTAATCCATTTCAATGCACCTTGACATAAGGGACGGGTGGTCACCCTAAGTGCTCTTCTCCTCCCGCTCCCATCAGCAATCCACCCCATCCTTACAGGAGGGGAGGAGGAGCAGAAAGAGCCTGGTAACTCAGGGCAACCCGGCCCCCTCCTCCCCTCCTGTGTGCTGAGGATGACTCCTTTGCTTCCCCCCCCCCCCCCCCGCAACAGCTTGGCTGGGGGGGAGGGTGAAGAACCTGTGTAGCTGGCCCCCCTTGCCTGGAGGAGGCAAAGGGGACCCCGCTGCATCCCTTCAGGTCTGGGAATGGGGGGTGAAGAGCCCCTGGAGGAGCAGAGTTGGGGCTGGGGGCAGTGAGCTGATTGTGGTGGGGGCTGGGTGGAGGCAGGGTTAATTGCTGGGCAGGGGCCAGGCAGATGTGTGTGTGGGGGGTGAGAGCTCCTGCAGCAGGGGCCATAACCCCCCCACCCAGTATGTTTGGGAACAAGGGCAGCACTGGTCGTCGGGCCAGGGTGTTCAGTGAGCAAAAGACACACAAAACCCCATGAGACAGTCTTACCCCTCAGCCCCTCAGTCTCATGATGTTTTTTGCCAATCTCCTGATTCTTTTGCTGTGATTCATGATTTTTGCTCATTTGAGGCTGGCAATGCTGTATGTTCCTCGGTGCCCCAGGCAGCCCCCTCACCAGGGCTGTACGGCTTCCAGGCTGCACTAGCGGCTGGCTGGGGTCCCCCTCCCTATGGCTTCTGACCAATGAGGCGCACAAGAAAGCCCCACGCCTGGTGACGCAGAGGGGCTCCCTGTCCCTGTGTGGGCCTGGGGTAGCTCAGCTTGGAACCCCTAGATCACCAGGGAAAGCTTAGAGTGCCGGGGAAGGACTCATGCCTTGTGGGGGGCAGCAGTGGGGGCAGGCCCTGGATTGCACTGGGTAGCGCCCAGCTTGGGAATCCCCCAATCCCTGCACTTTCCATCTAGCCTCCTGCGTGGGGAGGAGGGTGGAGCCTGTCATTCTACCAGATACAGGAGCTGTCACATGCAGTTTCTGGGAGAGAGACCGGCTGGAGCTGGGCAGGGAAGGGGAGCCGGGGCCAGGGCCCAGGGAAGGAGCAAAGGGGCAGGTCGGAGCTGGGTGAACAGCCGGAGCCAGGTGTGTGGGGCAGGCACGGGGGCTCGGCTGGAGCAGAGTACAGAGGAAAGAACTGGCAGAAGACTGTGGGGCGAGAAGGGAGGAAGTGGGAGACAGTGTCAGGGCTCAGCAGGACCTGAGGGACTAGGCTGATCTGGTGCACAGGGAGGGCGCAGGGGGAGCTGGGCGTGCAGGGGGAGCTGGGCGTGCAGGGGGAGCTGGGAGCGCAGAGTGAGCTGGGTGTGCAGGGAGCTGGGCATGTAGGGGGAGCTGGGAGCGCAGAGGGAGCTGAGCGTGCAGAGGGATCTGCATGCCAGGGCCATCACTGAGGCCAGGTGCCTTGATTACACTTGGTGGATCCCATCAGAGAAGGAGCAGAGGCAGGGACATAAAAGAGGAGCTGGACTGATCCCCTGTCCTCCGTGGACTGACCCCCAGAAGCAGGGGGAGAAGCAGCTCCCTGCTCCAGAGATGCGGAGAACATGGCAGCCCTTTGGGGTCTGGCGGCTGCTGCTCCTGCTGGTAGCGATCCCACTCACACCGGTAAGTGCAGTGCCAAGGCCGCAAAATCTCCCCCCTGCTCCCACCCCAGGCCAGTGCTCCCGGCCGAGGATCCTGGCCGCAGGAGGCAGGGGAGGGCCTGTGATGGGTGGGAGGGGCAGCACCTACGCTGGCAGACGGAGTTGCGTTAGCCACCCACTCTCAGCACTGAGTGGTGTGGTGCCACAGGGCAGCCAGTGCCAGATTGGCTTCCATTTCTGTGCCTACCAGTCCCCAGGGCTTAATTTGTGCCAGGGCCTGGCAGTTCATAGCCCCAGCACCTCCGGGCCTGGCAGTTCAGAGCCCTGGCACCTCTTTCAGTCCCTCTGCCACAGGGGTTCTTCAGGCTGTTTCCTCCCCAGAGCAGCACTTAAAAGTGGATGAGCAAGGAGAGCAGGGCTCGCCCTGGGGCTCCCCAGTGGGATGGGAGAGGTCTGCATGCCCTGGGGCAGCTCCCCAAGAGCCCTCTGCCAGGCGGGGCCTGCCCCGCTCTCTGATTCAGTTGCCCACCGTCCCCTCCCTGGGCATTCTGGAGCAGGTTGCAGTGATGGGTTAGCTGGGAAGTCTCTGAAATACCAGCTCAGCAGCAGGTTTGGAGCCGGACAGGCAAAGAGACACTTTCAGTTTCGCCCTGCAGTGCGCAGAGAGTCTTCTCTTTCAAGGAACAAAAGACTTCCCCCTCCCCTGCACCACCCCACTAGAGAGGTGATGAGCCCGGAGCTGGGCTTGCCAGGGCTAGGTGCGCGCCGGGGGCTCTGAGCCAAGGCTGCCCCTTTGTGCGCTGGCTAATGTGATGATGGTGAAGTGAGGCGGAATTCACTGGATAGAAACAAACCTACCACTAAGGTCTCAGGCAGGGGCTGCCAGCAACATCCCAGTGAGCTCGGGAGCCGCTGGCCCCTGGGCCCAAGGGAGGGGGTGGAAGGAGTGGGGCAGTGAGTAGCAGCTGGCACTGCCAGGCTCCTACAGAAAGCCTGTACTGGCAGCTGCTTCTGCCCTCTCTGGAGGCAAGCCCTCTGCTCCTGCCTGAATTACTCCTGACCCTCCCCAGGGACTTCGGGAGTCATAACTTGAGACTCCTTTGACCCCATCTCTCATCTGATCCCCATCCTGGAAGTACCTGGGCATCTTGCAGACTGTAATGTATTTAGCCTCACCCTCCCATCCCCACCCCAGGGGCCAGCAAGGGTGTTCTCCCCATTGCATAGATGGGAACTAAGGCCCAGAGACACCAAAGCAGGTAGGCTCTGAACTCCCACCTAATTAGGCACCTAATTACCTTTGGCTCTGGGCCAGAGTGACTTGGCCAAGGTCATGCAGGGAGTCTGTTTCAGAGTGGGAAACTGAACACGGGTCTCCTGAGCCCTAGGCTAGCAGCGAAATCCCAGCTTCTTCTGTCCTGTCTGTCCCTGCCTCCCTCCCAGGCAGAGGTACTTGAGTTCACCTGAGCAAAGGACAGCCTCTCCTGTCTCACCCCCCAACCCCGTCAACCTCCATAGCCCTGCCTGGAGGGGGAGCAAACTGGGAGGAGAAGGTTCAGCACAGGCATCCTGCACACCAGAGGGGCGCTGGATGACCGGCTCCACATCAGCCCAGCTCTGCCTGCCAAACCCTCCCCACTTCGCCCTTTGGGATGGCCCCCAGGCAGCACCTGCCCGCCCCCCCCCCCATAGGGGCACAGGATGGGGAAGCACCATGGACCCCCATCCTGCTGGCAGCATCCACCCAGGTCCAGCGCAAAGGACACTACGATTCCAGGGCTGGCCAGGGGAGGGGGATGCTGCAGCAATGGGCATGACTAGCTCTCTATTCTCAGCTTGGTTTGGGCTCCTCAGGTCTTGGGCAGACTCCCCTGGGAGCCAGGACCTGCTTTACTTTTCACACAGTCCCCCTGCTCCTGGGGCCAAGTCCCCCTTGGCCTAAAGCCCCTGCAAGCTGCTGTGGTGGTGGAGAGAGGAACGCCCCTGGGCGAGGGGGGTCCCCCACCTTCCTGTCCCCACCTACTCCCAGGCCCCAGCGCAGGGGGCTGTCAGAGTGGATGGAGCAGGGTAGGAAGAGGGCGTGGGGGGACACACTGCAATCCGGAGAGTCTCTGCTCCTCAGTGTCCATTGGGGCCCTGGGAAGCAGCACATCAGCGAGAGCTGCCCTGACATGCTCTAATGGCACCAGAGCCCGCGTTAGACCCCAAAGGGGCGGCATGAAGGTGCCCCCTTAGCCTCCTCCCCAGATGCCCTGTGAACTGGGGCCCCTGCGTGTGTCAGCACCACAGCTGCCTGCTTTAGGCACAGCCTCACGGTAACCGTGCTGAGCCGAACCATGCTGTAGCCCAGCCCAGCCAGTGCTAATGGGCAGGGTTGTTACCTGCAGGGCCAGGTCTGGAGACCATGGGCCACCTGGAATCTCTGTTACAGGGGCCAACGTGTGGAGCAGGAAGGGCCTTTCTTGGCTCCTGGCTCTGCCTGGCTATTGCTGCTGCTCCATTCCTCAGCGCTGACCCCGACTCTCACGGTGTCCCCATCCCGGAGCCCATAAGGGAGGGCAGGGTCCCAGGCTGGGAACATAGTCAGGTGGTGTGTTGAACGTCTGAACCCTAACCCTGAACCTAGTGCCCCTGGCAACCAGGGACTCCCCTGCCCCCAATTCCCTGGTGTTTCGCCTGCACATTCATCCCCCCAGGGAGCAGACCCTGCCCATCACACTGTAGTGAAGCTGTCTGTGGGATGCAGATGGGCTCCAGGGGCAGACTGCACCCCCGCCCCTTGCCTAGAGATACAGGCACTGCCAAGGGGAGGCCTGGAGTGGAATGGAAGAGGGGGAGAGGAGAGCACTGAATGGAGCCTGCTGTCTCCAAATGGGGCAGATTCTGCAGTGGGGTCAGTGTCTGAATGTGGGGCTCAGGTGTCCTATCTGGGTGCCTGGCGCAGCAGCTAGGAGACCAAACAGCCTGATGGGGCTGTCCCATGTGCCGCTGCAGAGGTGCTCCCCGGCAACCCCATGTGCCTGCTGTGCCCCTTTAGAGCAGGTGGGGAGGGGTGCGGGGGCAGAATCGTGGCTCCCCCCCAGCTATGCCAGTCAGCACAGCTGTGGTGTTCTGCTTCGCTGCAACTCTATGTCCCCAGCACACAACTAACGCCAGAAGAAAGGCACAGGGAGGGAGCCATGCCATGGAGGCCTGTCTCTGAGGTGCAGTGTCTTACCCATCATGCTTTGCTCAGGGCTGTGACTAAAGGCCCAAGCTAGCTCTTGGGTACCCAAGGCCACTAGACCTGAAAGCAGTCTCTGAATTCAGGAAAGTCCAATGTGAAGTGCTGTCAGGTCCTCTTAACCCTAACCCTGAAACCTAAGGTCTCTTTGACTCCAACACTAATCCAGCTGGAGTTACTTTAAAATGACCCAAACCCGAACTTTCTCAGTAACCTTAACTCTGCCTCCAGCCAATAACTCTGCTGCCATCCTCACCCTGACCTTTATGTTTTAGTAACAGAGCTGCAGAGGTGACTCACAGTTATGCATGGCTGATGCTGAGAGCTGGGATCACCTCTCTTAGGGTGATTCCCCTGCTCTCCTTTGGCGAGAGAGAATTCAGCCCCTATGCCAAACTATCGCTGTCAGGATGAGGAACCCCAGGAGCAATCACAACAGCGGTTGCTGGCAGCCCTGAGAAATGTGTGCTTGCAACAGCCGCACGTCTAGACTGCACAGCAGAACACGGAGAGCACTAACACATTCCTGGAGGGAGGGCAGTTGTATTGCATTTGCAAATTCCAGCTTGGTTTCTGCACCTGACAATCCCAGCATTAGAGACAGAGAATGTCGTCCCCCCCCCACCGCAAAGGGACACTTGCTGAATTACCCCAGGGCAAACTCAGCAGCAGCTCCTTCCCGGAAATGACAGTTGAGAGCAATTGCTAATAGAAAGAGAGAACAAGTTTCCGAAGCAAGGCCACTGGGTGCTCGCTGCCTCTAAGACTTGGAGCAGTCGCAGCAGGACGTGTGCATGTAGGTCAAGCAGATGCCATGGTGCTGTACAATGTGGGGAGTCCTTCTAGGGCTGGATCCCACGGGGTGCTCAGCAGCCCCTGGCGGTGCTGAGAAGTCTCAGCTCCCATTGGTTTAGGTGCAAACTGCGGGAGCTCAGCACTGTGCAGGATCAGGCCCGCGATAAGGAAGACCCCCACCTGACTTTCCCCCTCTCTGGAGTCTCTGCACAGCTGGGTTGAGATGAGATCAGAGTGACAGCTCGGCCCTAGCCCCATAGGTCACGTTGTGAGAGCCTGTCAGCTGTCTGCTCAACATGCTGACACAGGGCTCTGAGCAGCCTCTGAAGCTCTGGAGACAACTTCCATCCCCATGAACAGAGATGGAAAATGCTGAGCTGGTGAAGGATCCAGCCACATATTTTGAACACACCCATCACCATGATGTCTGGGAGCAAACAATTTCACCTGTGCAAACCTCCCAGAAGTCCACAGGGCTTAACTTAATTCTTTATAAGCAAGGCTGGGTTACCTTCCTGATCACTGTAGTCTAATCCCAAAGGACACGTTGCAAGGTGTGGTTCAGCATGATTCAGAGGATCATTGAACTCAACCATTTCCCCTGCCCCCCAAACATTAAACCATGGTTGAGGTTCCATGAACCAGTCCAGCCTCCCGTTCACACATGCAGACCGCTGAACCTGAGCATTCACCCACTAGCATACAAAGACCCCGTGACCAAAAGATAGCTATCCACTGCGACGAAACTGTAGCTTCCTCTCAGAACCATGCGCAAGCACTTTATGCCAGCCTCTCAGTCACGCGGAGTTGTGAGAATCTGGTTTTTCACACAGCTGTGCACAAAATTCACCAGTTCCTTCCAGACTACTGGGATCTAGCAAGAGACTCGGAATCTGCCCTGACATGCACACAAAGCACGATACTACCCGCTGCTTCCAGTGGGCAAACAGAAAGGCAGGTTGAGAGCACAGTTGCACCCAGAATATGCAGCAACTGCCTAGTGG